AGAGAGAGAGAGAGAGAGAGAAGGCATGAAAAATAGATAAGAAAGGTGAATGGTGAAGAGCTCATGTGCCACCGTGGCATGCATGCGTCTTAACAACCCTTTTGTCAACCAAAAAATTATGATCACCCCCTTTTCTCAAATTTTCCTCTTCTTCTCTTAATCCTCTGCCATTAATCAAAACTGAAATTTTGTCCAATTCAACCCCAGAAAAATACACACCTTTTCAAAAAAAAAAAATAAATAAAAATAAAAATCATTCATCCCTCCAAATGTTTGCAACACATCATCTTGCATGAAAAATCATGCATGAATTTTATCCCACAATACACAGAACAATCATCGACATCGATCTGTTTTTAACCCCTTGACACGATAAACCGAGGGCCGAAAAACGCCGAAAAGCATAGAAATACATATATATAGAAACAAAAAGAGATATGGGTGCATGTTGTTCGTGTCATAGGGGTGGTAGCTTCGTGAGTTATTACGCTGAAGAAGTAGAAGAAAGACGAGCAAGAGAATACGATGATGGCGATGATGACATCATACTCAAAGGCGACTCGGGTGCACGAATCCGATTGCAGGGCTCGTCTAAACAGGTGTCAATGTTCAGCCAGCAAGGCAAAAAGGGGATCAACCAAGATGCCATGACTGTTTGGGAGGTACACTTTTTTTGTCTATTAATTAATTCATTTCCTTTTCTTGATTTCCTCCTCTTATTCTTTGATCGATTATTTTTGTCATCAAATATGAACAATGAAAAAGGGCGCGTTTCATTATTATTATCATGTACACGTATCGTGATATCCATCTGATTGTATGTATGTGTATACTTCTTTGTTATGTCTTGGTTTTTGCAGAGCTTTTCAGGGGATAAGGACATGTACCTATGCGCCGTGTTCGATGGGCACGGCCCATCGGGCCACAAAGTGGCCCGTTATGTACGTGACTCTTTGCCCTCGAAAATATCAAAGCTGTACCGACAGCCGTGTGTTGATATCGACATCGAAACTGAAACGGGCCAAGAGAGTCCCGAGTCGAAGAACCCGTTGCTCCTTTCATGGAAAGCCCGATTGACCAAGTGCTTTCACGAGATCGACGAGCAGCTCGAGGGAGATGCCTCGGTCGAGAGCTACTCGAGTGGCACGACATCCGTTTGTATTCTTAGAAAGGTAGGTTCATTTGATCGACAAGATTCATTTTTCTTTTTTTTCCATTTTCTTACTTCATTTGTGTCTTTTTATTATGTTTTTGAAGGGTGAGCACTTGATCATTGCTAATTTAGGAGATTCTCGTGCTGTTCTTGGCAAGAGGGACGAGAGTAATCAGCTCGTCTCAGAGCAGCTCACGGTCGATCTCAAACCGAATCTTCCAAGTTAGTACAGTTTTTAAATTTTTATCCATTGTTCTTGTGTTAGGACTTGAAACGAAAATAAAACGCGACAAAAAGTCCCGGAATTTCATTATAATCATATGGGCCTAATTTTTTTTTTCCCTTTCTTTTCTTGGGGATTCTTTGCAATATTTTTCAGGGGAAGCAGAGAGAATAAGAAGCTGCGAAGGCCGTGTTCTAGCCATGGATGAGGAGCCGAATGTATACCGTGTTTGGATGCCTCATGACGATTGTCCGGGCCTTGCCATGGCCCGAGCCTTTGGGGATTTCTGTCTAAAGGACTTTGGCCTCATTTCGACCCCTGAAGTCACTTACAGAAAGCTTACCGAGCGAGACGAATTTGTAATCTTGGCAACCGATGGGGTAAGAAAATTAAAAATAAAAATCAAGCAAGAACACTCTGAACGAAAAATATCAAGTTAATCATTGTGAAATTGCATAATTTTCCTACTTTTTTAGATATGGGATGCGCTGTCGAACGAAGAGGTGGTACAGATAGTGGGCTCGTCAAGAAGGCGATCCATAGCTGCTAAGCTTCTAGTGGAGCAGGCCCGTTGGGCCTGGAGATACAAATTTCCACGGTCCAAGATCGACGATTGCGCAGTCGTGTGTCTATTCTTCAAGAACCAAAGGGCTTCACTCACGAAATCCGTCTCGGAAAAGACGCATTTGTCCCTGAACTATGCTGACCTCGACGTGCGCAGCTATGCCGGAAGCATGCAGAGTGACGATGCCCTCGACACGGTTCTCAACTGCAAAGTCGATGAGGAAAGCCCGGCCCGCGAAGGGCCGGATGAGAAGGGCTCGTCGGATTTGGTTCGGCTGAGAAGGAGGAGGGAAGAGAGGAGGAGGAAGCTCGAGTGTATTGGGGAGTGAAGAGCGATCGATCGTGGGTTTTTTTCTTTTTTGTCGAAAGCCGGAATTTTAATGTGATGCAAAAAAGTTAAAAAGAAATTGTGTATTTTTTTTGGGGGGAGTTTGAGTTTGGATTGGACACAGTTTGTTTTAATCAGTTTATGATGATGATGATGATGATGATGATGATGATGATG